AAATAAATAGCAAACTCTACTTTTGGATGTACAAGCACAGGTTGGATTTTCTTGGATGATACTTATTTGCCAATGCTATCATTTTACCTCATTCTCTTAAATTATAGCAAGCAAAATTAAACAATTTAATCAATCAATCTAATAGAGCTTGCAAATTTTTTTCTTTCTTATTTATTTTCCTTGTTATGGGAAACCCAGCTGTACAATAGAAAAGATAGAAGATAAAAACAGATGCTTCCTCTTTCCTTCTATGCTTCACTCTGAGGTTTTGTGCTGAAATAAACAATTCCCAACATACATACACCTATTCACAGAACTTAAAGATACATACATCAGAAATTGACGTAAACACAAAGATGTTTAGTGATGCACAGTGGTTTCAACACACTGCAGTTGGCATGAGCCATACAAGGATATGTAAAATTAAAGAAATTTATATTGGTTTCCCTATTTGCTTAGATGTATTTCAAATGTTTGAGAGATTACTAATGGCCACCACACAGGGAAGCACAGACAGGACAATTTCATCACTGCAGAAATTTTCTCTTGCATGTTGTTGCTATGGAGGCAACTGCTAGTACCAGTTCACTGTGCATTCTCTATATATTCAGATAGAATTTCTGGGCCATTTTTACCTGGTTCTCTGCTTTCTGACCTCAACAGAATACTCCCTGGCATTACTCTCTCTAAGCATACTTATTCAGTCCAGCATGAAAAGTGCAAACTCTCTTAGTTCTTAGAACCCATGTCATTTTTTTCAAATCCCATTCTTAAAAAAATAAACTTCATTATATTACTTGTATCTTCCACTATGCTGAATTCCTACCTTGAAATTTCACAATGAATAATCCCTGCTCATTTGGGATGTAGTACATGCTCATTTCAATAATCAAGAAATAAATCAATGTTAACTTCAACTCTGAAAATAGAAGATACTCTGATATATTATGTGTTCTTTGAGTCTATACTAAATGGTCCAAAGTACCTTGGATCATCTTTCTAAGATCCACTATAACTTTTGAGTATCCATAACTAACCCTCCATGCTTCCAGTGCACAGATTATCAGTATCTCTCTTTATCACATTGAAATCACTAGCTATAACATTTTCTTCTTTGTTTTTCCAACTTCTTTTGTTTGCTTTAACATTGGCTGAATACACTGTTGAGCCAGAAAACAAAATTGCGAATAAGATCAGAACAGGGATGCTCTGAGTTGAGATTTCTGATAGATAATTTTGTCCATAATGTTTACCATAAAACTGGACAATAAACAAAATTTTAAAGAGCACCATAAAAATAAATGTTAAAATTCATTTGCTTTATATACTTTGTGAAAGTCAATCTTCTCCCATGGCTGACACAACTGGGTCATGAGAAAATGTCACTGAAGATTTTAGTAGCCTGCTTGGAGATGCCAACAATCCTCCACCATCAACAAATAATCAGTCATAAACATCAGACATCCTAAATTTTGTAACACATCTTGTTTTATCTGATGCCTTTTCAGCATTTGCTGAAGTTGGAGGTTACGAGGGCTTGACAGAGAAGTACATGAATGCCATCCCTTCTATAGTTGAAGGTGACAACCTGACAATCAGTCCCAAGTGCTACACACCAAAAGCAGACTCCCTCCACATTTTAAGAGATCCTATCTCTGGGGATATTCCATGGCCAGGACTCTTATTTGGAATGTCCATTTTATCTTTGTGGTACTGGTGCATAAATCAGGTGAGTAAATATGTAAGTGTATTTAACTCATACAAAAACATCTAGTTCTATTTTGCGCACACACGTACACACACACACACACAGCAATTAGAAATCAAGCGTTTGTATAATGCTTCTTAATTTTATTTTATTTT